TATATATGTAATTATTTGAAATGTTGAAAAATTGCTCTCCATAGTTCATTAAATGTTTTAATTGATGGAAATGGTTGAATAAACCTTACTACTTTTAAACCACCGAAAAGAACTTTTCAAACTTAAAATCTTTAAGACCTGATTTAAAATCACAAATGAGCTGTTAAATTTCAATTGAATAATAAAATTTATATTTGGGGGTTATATCCACGTTATATCTTCGTTATTGGGGGGTTATATCCGCGTTATATCTCCTGTAACCTATCTGTAATTTACCTGTAACCTATAAATATATGAAAACATAAGCGCGAAACTTATTTATAGGTTACAGGTAGGTTACAGGGAAGTTACAAGGGGTTATAACGTGGATATAACCCCCCAATACCCTCTGAATAACCTCCCTAACATACGCAGCGCTGCGTACGTCTTACATACGCAAATTTTTCTCCTATTTCAAGCCTAACATTATTATATATTGTTGAAATTCCATGATTTTTCTGTTGTCCAAAAGTTGATAAAATTATATATGACTTGTATGGCTTTATATTTGCTCATTCGGATAGTGTTGATTTAAACTTCAAAATTTACATCAGCTAATTATAACTCAAATTTATTATGTAAGTTAACTTAATCTTAATTAAATCAATTCAAGTTTAAAAGTATAAAATTGAAATAAAAAAATAAATTTAAATATTATCATTATGAATTAAAACTTAAATTAAAAAAAAATGATTAAACTCAAATTTAAACTAACTTAATCGGACTTAAATTCAAGGGTCATTTTTACATACATACCAAACAATTCTTACGTATTTACGTATCTAACACAAACATTTATATTTATATGTATAACCCTCAAATCTTTAATGCCATATCAGAAATATCATATTTTATTTACTTTTAAAAAGTGAATTATATATTTTCATAAATAAATTTATGACATAAAAATGTTATGAATGCAAATAGAATAATTTGAGAGCTAGATATGTAAATACATAATAATTATGTGGTATGTATGTAGATTTCTCTAAATTCAAATTAATACTAAACATGATGATATAACCATTGATATGCAACCATTGAATAAAAATAAATTAAGAAATAAAAGCATTGCCTTTTGTTGCTCTTAATCGCTACCTTTATTTCTCAGCACATCCTCTTAAAGACTTCTCTTATCTATAACTCTTATTCTTGGTTTTTGATAGGAAAAACAGCTAAAAGAGGAATAAATTGAAGTAAGATGTGCAGTGAAAAAGTCAATAAAAAAATGCCAAGCCATCAATTTTACTGATCAAACTTGACATGGGATGTCCCCATTATATTGGGTTTGGTTGCGTAGCCCTGAATTCTTTTTTCTGAACATAACACATCATCGCCTGGCCAACTGTGCCCTAACGCCAAGTAGACCCCCAACGCCCAAATGCCATTGACGTAATGGTCAGTTCAGGTTTAGTACCCGAGAGCATGATACTACAACACCCCATTGTAGAGCCACAACACCACTATCATAGTGCTTCAACACCAGTAACCAAATTTTAGCATTTCTTCGCTTAAATTTTTTATTTTACCTATTGAACGGTATAGGATTTCAATTTTAGTCGTGCAAATGAGAGGAGACAGTGTCATGAGTGTTCATAAGTATGATGAGGCTTGAGTGTGGTATAATTTGTATAATTTTCTTCATTTTCTTTGTTGTGGATTTCTTGTTATGATGTGGCTCCATGATTTCTTCCTATTGCACGTTCTTCAACATTAAATCTTGTGGTTTTTGTGGTTATTGTTATTTTGTGCACTTATGCTCAAAGTTTTTCTTCAAATATCTCAAATATGTTGTAGTTATATCCAACGGGGGGCTCACAGTCTTTTAAATACAAATTTGAAGTTGTGTCTCTACTCAAAGCCAAACATAATCCATCACCTTTGAAGTACCAAAATGTTGAAGCTAAAGCCTTTAAAGTGGTTTTTAATAGAATTAACTATTTCTAATGAATAAGCTGTGATAACAAACAATTGATTATAGTTTAGTTATGAAATAATTAATGGGAATTTCAATCTAGGAATAGCTTATCTTTCATTATGGACAACTCAAATTAGATATGCTAATGTAATCATTTTTTACTTTATTATTGTGAGGATGACATAATAAAATTTATAACTTTTTTATATTTAAAGTAATGACAATATTGACAATACATGTGATAGCTAAAAATGAGTAATGAATGCTTATGTTTGATTTTTTTATCATAGAACACTTATTAATTTGTTATATTTAGTAGAGAGTAGTAGAAATTACACATTCAAAATAAATTAATTATTTAACATAATAGTGTTCATAGCATGTTATATCTTATATTTTGCAAATATATTATATCATTGTGTTTATGTTGTATCATGACTATATTCTATGCTTAAAATTTATATAAATGCCTTATTGGTCCCTTAAATGTTGTAAAATATAAATTTATAGGTTTCTCAGATATTGATGATGTCGGAAATAGAGATATGCAATCAATATAATTTAATATCATAAAACACATCCTGCCAAGCATTGCCCCATTGAAGTTGGATATTAATTTTATCATATGTTATGAGAAGATAAAATCTATCCAATAGGTTTTCTATGAACCCAAAAAAAATTTTATTTTTTTTTTCTTGGATTATCTTAATTTGGTTCCACTTTTTAGAGGTAACTTTTTGGATTGCCTTAGATTTCAAGAATAATTCTTGTCTCTTTGATAATAACTTTTAAACCTAAGGAATTGTCAAAGACAAATCTAAAGGCATTAAATGAAGGCGTAACTTGATCAAAATTTCATAATTTCATTGTCCAAAGTTATCAAATTTTGAGTCTACTTCATTAGAAAGAGATATTATTAATTGCTTCATCTCAAAGAACTTTCTTATGTACTCTATACCACATTAGACACATAGAATTCCTAGACTCTACGAAAAAGGAGGAATGATTTAAGGTAAGGAGATGAGAATAGAAAAAGATGATGGAGATAGCTAGATTAAAAGAGTTAAACAATCGAACTAGCCTTACAATCACATTTAAACTAAGTGAGTTTAATGAATCGTGATGTTAGTAGTCTTATTTTAAATGGAACAAATATACTTCATGTTGCATTTATCATGTAATTTTTTTCATCTCAATATAAAAATTTAATTATTTTATTTGATAATTTTGATTACCATATCATGATTAGCGATAGCTAGGTTCCCACTGATTCTTACGACTCACTTTTATGACATGCATATGGAGAATCATATGTTTACTACATACTTCTAAAACTAAAGAGAGCATATTTTAATTATTTTATTATAAAAGGTGTTCCAAGGACAATGAGTTAATTTTCCTTAACAAAAAAATGACTGTCTTTAGTTTTATTTTAAAGTTGATTATTAATTTGATTAATATGGTTAAAAGAAAAAAATTCAAAGAGCCTAATAATTTTAGTATTT